AAAAAATAAAACAGCTGAAATTAATTTTTTGTTGAGCACATGTCCAAACTATTATAATATGTAATCAACATAAAGATTAATGAACTGTTTTATTAATATTTTTTATACTAATTTTTCAAAATCTGGTATGCATTTTACACTCACATCTAACATTTCAAGGGCTCTACAGCCACATGGGACAGTGGCTACCATATTGGCGAGGGCTGGTGCATGACTGGGAAAGCTGTTGGTTGCACTGGCCCAGAGCTCTGTGGTAAGGGACTGTGTGTGTGCTTGCGGCGGGGGTGGGGGGTGTTGAGGGGGTGAAGACAGAGAGAAAGTGGATCAAGACAGAGGCTGAAGGAACCACTAAGTAGACTTGCTTGGAGAGACAGGTGGCAGGGGTGGTTGAAGATGGGCTGGGGCCAGGCCCAGGTGGCTGGGAGAACCTAGGGATTGTGTGCAGGATGAGATTGTAGGATGGGAAGATCTTTAGCAGCTTGTGTCTTAGAGGACGCTGCAGTCCAGAAAGAAGCGACCCACCACCACTACTGTAACCTGGCCGCAACTCCGATCTCCTGACCCTCAGCCCACTATTTTGGTTCACTGCACTGCCGTGAGCTGTGAGGCTGAGCACAGTTTAAGTTCTCTTTTGCCAGTTTCGTGTTGCAGTGGATCTGACGGTCAGTCATAAACCATACCAGGAACCGAAACCCCCCAGCCAACCAGAAAGATTGGGTGCAGGAATAAAAGCGTATTAGAACAACACAGCCAGAAATTACCACATATGTAGACACCTAGAGGGATATTTTGTATTGGATTTATTTATGATCTAATATCCTTTATTTCAGCCTCTAGAAATAGAGAAAGGGGAGATACGGAAACAAAGATATTAGTGCACAAGGAGAGGGAGATAGATTGTTTGGGATTGATTCTTTTTGCATACTTTATTTCACTTCACAATGTCTAGTTTGTATTTGTCGCACACCACGTTAGAACAACATACTAGAAACCTAAAACAAAAAAATATTAGCTCTAATATAAAGCAGAACCCACTTACGTGCTGGTCCCCAACCTTTTTGGCACCAGGGACCGGTTTGATGGAAGACGTTACTATTCCAATAATATTGGACCATTTGAAACAAATCAGCAAGATAAAGAAGCTGGATAGATGGGCGAAATCGTCTCAAAGCTTAACTTAGCTGTCACAACATAAACGTGAACCATTTCTACACCATATTGTTACATGTGATGAAAAATGTATTCCTTTGACAATTGCAAGCATTTAGCACAATGGCAGGATAAAGATGAAGTGCTGAAACAGTCCAAAACTGAATGTTCAACAATAAAAGCTACTGGTGTCTGTTTGGTGGTCCAGCACTGGTATTATCCACTACGGCTTCATGAAACATGGTCAATTACAGCGGATGTCTACTGCACCCAACTGGACGAAATGATGAGGATGTTTGCGATTAAGCAGCCGAGATTGGTCAATAAAGACAGGCCAATCCTCTTGCAAGACAACACTCAACCACATCTCACCAACAACGCCGCTCAAACTACAGAGGCTAGACTTGGGAACTCTGTCATCCACCATATTCACCAGACCTTGCACCAACCGACTACCACTTCTTCCAGGCTTTGGACCACTTCTTGTACGGAAAAATATTCTATTCTCAACAAGCTGTGGAAAACATCTTGGAAGATTTCATTGCCACTTGCTCTCCAGGCTTCTTTGCCGCTGGCATAAACAAGCCACCATTAAGATGGCAAAACTGTGTTGACAGTTTAGGTGCATACTCTGAAACTTGGACTGCTTCTTGTTTATGATAAACTGCGCTTTTGATTCGAAATTAGACATTTCAATATTTAATGACCTCATAAACGGTAACAATATTTCAAGTTAGCTAATCTTTAATCTAAAAGTGTATGTTTGTTTGCTCATAATAAAAACTGGCCCAAAAGGGAGAAAAATCCTGCTTATAAAGATATGTAACACTACAAGGCATGTGGAATATCTGCCAAGAAATTTTTTTACTCAATCTTCAATCTAAATGCTTCAAAAACAAACTATTGAGGTTAAAGTTTTTTCACTATACCCTTGAAATTGTACACATGAAATAATACTTTGATATATATTTCTCTGTCTCCTCAAATGTGGGCCTGGTATATATCTGGGAGTTACTTGGTGCCTATACTTGATGGACAAATTTTGTAGTGACGTATACGAAGGCAGTCTAGAAGCTCTCCAACCATGTAATACCATTCTCTTTATATTAACAATGGCTGGATACTTTCCGACAGCCCTCATACATTACTATATTTCCCCTTTTTTATGGTCAATCTAGTTAGATCACTTGACACAGACTTATTTAGAAAATGTAATTATAAACCATGTAATATTACTGAGGAAAAAATAATGCTTAGGTAACTTGTGTAAAGGAAAATTGTTGCTGCTCTAAATGAAATCACACAGAAATGAAACATAGGAAAAGAAACTGCTAGTATGTATAAGAATTAGCCAGATTGGCACTTTTACTCAACAAGCTGGCTAATTTTAGGCATTTGATGTTTAGATTGCTAAATAATTACAGAATTACCAAGCAATTAATACTTGCCATGCATCTTATAAATTTAGATGAGTTTATACAACCAAAATGATATACTGCTTCACAATTTTGAGTATTTTAATGTATTTTTCAAAACTTTGCTCAATACTTAAGAAAAATATTATGGTTTTATAAATTCAGAATGCAGGGCCAGTCATTAAGCTTATTTTATGTAATTGGAGATTACTGGTGCATTTTTAGGTCAAAAAATGTTAAGCAGCACAGACATCAGAGACAGTGAAGCTTTTATTTTTTTTTACTCTCATCCAAACACACCCTTTTCTGAAAAACATAAAAGCATGCACATTGATGGCATTCTTATAAAGAAAAACTAAGTATTAACTAAGCCATAAATCAACAGGACAAACAAAAGTTTAAGTGATAGGTGAAAAGATTTATAGGTAGGCACAGGTCTTTTAACTTTAGAAAATAATAATTCCAGTCAATATCAATACATGTTAAGGAGAAGCTTCTAATTTTCCAAACATTTTGATACAGAATTTTTTTTCCACTATATTTTATAGACCCTTTGAGAGAATATAAGTTCGAAGAAACATGACATTCAAATGATCTTACTTTGCCTCGTTAAAATGAGTTATAATCCACATAATTCCAATGGTATTGCCTCTTAAAATTTAAATTTGGAGCATATCCATGATATTCAAAATAAGTTCCACAATTTCCATTTTGACCTAGCTAGAAATAAATTCTAAATTTAGTATTGTTAAAAAATGTATTTAACAAAACATGAGATTGATCTAAATTTTACTTTACAGCTAAGAGAACATTACAATTCGGCATGAGGACACTTTGCCTAAGTTTTACGCATGCCCCCACTTATAATTAGGCCAACTGTATCCTGAGTGTATACACATGTGTATACATATATTATACACAGTAACACACACAAACCAATGCACACCACACAACTCTTCAAAGATGTTGCCTGAAATGGCTTATTCTCTGGTTTTGGAGAAGCAGCGTAACACAGTCAGACAAAATTTCCCTTAATTATTTTTCATTTTGTTTATCATGATTCAAGTGGTGTATTCCATTTGGGTCACTGATGAATTCTGCAACAAAAATCCACTAGCGGTAAGTATAAGTGTTAACTTAAAGGACCAGTAGGCAATCAAGTTTAAATTATAAAAATAGAGCAGACCACACTTTAAAAATGTTTCCTTCCATGGGATATATTGTTCCATGACCGAAAATTGTGTGATTTGGTTCCTGGAACATAGCTCTTGTTCTGAGGTGATATTCCATTAAAACTAATGGGAAAGAAACATTCACTCAGCCTGATGAATTAAGTCTGTATTTCACTGGCTTGAGAAGGTGAATTTCTTGACATAGACAATGCAAAATGCCTCTGCAGCAGCTGGTGAAGCTCACTCACAAGGGCTTAAAGAGTTCAGCTTTGAAGCAGGGTGACACCGGCTGGCTCTTCTTCCCTGTGAGTCTCTGTGCAAGCCGCTGAGCAGCACCACTGGCGGGAATCCAAAGGAACAGTAGAGAACACAGTGGAAATCTACCTTGGTAACATACAAGTGGCGTCTGAATTAAATATTTTGCTAAATCAAAAAGAAGTAGGTGAAAGGCACATGCTAGTAAATCTAGTTGGCTCCCATCACCTCAAAAATCTGTGAACTCAGGGTCCAACGAAGGTTCACACTGATTTCTTTGAAATATATATATATAAAAGGAAAAAACGTTTTCAAGCACTTATGGCACAGATGTTGGGAAGTACTTAGCATAGCTTAAATCTTCAAAAAGCTAGGTAATTTCTGCTACAATGAATCAGTCACAATTTTAACTTAAACTTCTCATATTTTATACATTATTCTTTTGTGTAGAGTACAGGGTGTGCAAATTAAGCAATTTCAATAAATATTAGAAATGTTAATTATTTTGCAAATATAAAATGAGTAAAATCAGCTAATAATCCAATACAATAAAAACATTCGCTAAACAGCTTTTTCCCCATGAACATTTTTTGCCCTTTTCTTTGAGCATTTCAATACTTAAATACAATTTCTTTCACTGACTTGCAGAAATTAAACAAAAAGTGAAATATTACCTAGCTGCTAGATACTAAATACTTTAGTGATAAGGGTTTGGGGCTGTCAAGTTATAATAAATCGAAATTAACAAATGTAGTGAAATATGCCGCAAATTAATGTTAAAAAATACAGCCATCTGAATTATAAAATGATAACAAATTATACAGTCCTACTAAGCTTCTGTTCTGAAGTTGCCATTAGTTCGTGGGAAAAGGGAAATGTAAGAAACAGCAGAAACTCCGTTTAGCTTTTGCCTCTCCTGGAGCTCCAGAGCTAACGTTGTAAAACCATGTAGGTTTGCCCAAGACCAACTGCATATCGGCTCTAGTCACAAATTCTATCTTATCCAACGTTCGATCAACAAGGCTTTATTTACACTTCTTATTAAATTCAGGAAACGATTTGATGTAATGTGGAGCCGCCCAAAACAGACAATGTAGCATATCCCACTGCTTGGAGATGGCTCCCTGTTTATGTTTTAACAGTGACCCACAAGCAGCCCAGCAAGGTTCCATACACCCATGTGTTTATATACAGTTTCCTTCCGGTCTCGGTCATAAGCATGCCCGCAGTCAAACTACTTAAGATCAACACTGATGGTAAAGTCTTCTTGATACTTAATTTGGAATTAACACTTTTCCCAGGAAATTTGTTTCTTCTTTCTGGATCTGGTGAATCATAGAATTCTATAAGCAACCTATGGCCAGAATGAAAAAATTTAGTTTCAGTTTTAGTCACTTCAATATTTCAATTCAACAAGTATCTATTGGGTACTTACTTTGTACTGGAGAAGTTACATGTGTTCTTGGAAAATAAGAATGAAAAAGAAACACCCAGAGACTTGGTTTAATAGAAGTTTCTAGTCTTTTAAAATATCTTTAATATGCTCTATGATTAGTATATATGAATTGTATATGTAGCTATTTCACAATACATGGTTATCTGCCACTTTATTAGGATGTTTTTGTCTTTTAAACTTTCAATCTATAAAATTTTTATAGATTGGAATCATGGATATAGAGGGCCAACTATACATGGAGTTCTCCCCAAAAGCCCTTATTCCTATGGAATTATTCATTTTCCTATTTCACTTAAAGTAGGTAAAGGTATAACAGCAGAACATAATAATCTTAAACACAAAAGTACAGAAAGGGAAAGTCCTTCTATTGCTTTATAAATCACATTCCCTAGAGATGACCACTGTTTTAAAATATTTAGATTCATCCTAAATACATATAAATACCTATAACATAAAATAATTGAGATATTAAATATATTGTTCAGTCTTTTTCCTGAGAACAGATTTTCATGTTAATATACGCAGATCTTACTTTTAAATTTCTTCCACAGCCAAAGTGGTCCTGAATGGCTGGCTTGGTATGTCATGTGTAAGTGAGAGTCAATAAAAGAGAGAAATTTAACATCAAGTTTCATTTTCAACCTATTACACTTTTAATAACTTTCACCTGTTAAGGTTAACCCATGAGAAGGGCTCATTAGGAAATATTTTACTGTTTATACAAGGAAAGGAAGAACAATCTCAGTCTCCCATTAGGAAAATAAAACACTTGAGTAAAATTTCTGAATGTAAATATGCTTTTGAAAATATTTTTAAAAAGTGTTTTTAAAAACTAGAAAACCATAACTTTCAGTGTGGTCTTAGTAAACAGTACATCTTACAACTAATGGATACATTTTGTCAAAAAGAGGATAAAAATATAGATGTTCAAAACATCTTTCAAAAAATAAGATATATATCAGAAAGGATAAAACTTTCATTGACAGGAAAACAGTAAATTAATATCCTGAAATTTTCCTCTAACAAAATATTTTCATGTAACAAATTAAATTTGTAAATATCATATCTAAACCTAAGACTCACTTTTTATCTTCCTACAAAGAAAAGAAAATTCTAAAATTTCTTTCTTGTGTCAAATCGAAGATACTCTAATACTCTACTGATGTGACTTGCTGCTTCACGGCCCTCTCTTTGGTGAGTGGCACATGGCACTCCTTGCTGACCTCTTTACGCTAAGCCTCACCTAACAGGTATCCACATATGCCTTTCATCATGAAAGAACCTGAACCAGAAAAAAGAAAGAAACAAATATGCCTTTCATTTACTTAAAAGTAACTCTTAGCAAGGCTCAACACCTTTGTTTGCTCCAAAGTGACATTAGCATGGGCAAACACAAGGTCAATCCCAGAAACTGCAAAATACTAACAGAAAGAAGGTATTTCAATTGCCCCTTCCTTTTCCAACAGATAGAGTGGCACTGTGACCACCTGCACGGCAGACACAATCCCCTATCCCCAGAGCCTTGCTCTCCCATCACGGCTGGTCCTCACACGTCACACCACCGCATCTCATTGGATAAGGCAGATTTAGGCATCTTACATCAGAAAGTTTTGTGTGTGTGGTTTTTATATTTTTTAAAATTTATATCTTACCTCATAGTATTGTCCAAGAAATACTGTGTGACTTGTAAAAGTAATATTTAAAACATGAACAGATAAGCATGGAACAAGATTTCTCTTGAGTTTATAAAAAGCATTCTTGAGATAATGAAACTGTTTAAATTAGTTTCAAATTGTTTACTATAGTGAAGTTTTGTTGAACCAAAAGTTTCTGAAGTGCTGAAACTGCTGTTACTCACTTATCTTTTATTTCAAAACGTTCATGAAGCCATCTTCTCATATATTCTTGGTTTTCTGGGACATCTTTTTTGTCTATACGATCAATATGAATATGAATTTTTGGACACTCTTTGCAGAGAAATTCTAACAAAGAACAAAAATATTTCATTGTTTACTATTTTAGAACTCATGGTTATATAAAATAACATAATGAAAATAATAAGTCCAAAAGGCAAAAGAAAGCTTAAAAATGATTTTTTAAAAAGTACAGATTCTTTCCTTAGCAAAAATAAAACAAAATAAGAATTATAAACTGGTGGTTTTTGGTTTCAAGCTTAAGTAGAAGAACATGCTATAATTTCCAAATCAATTACAGTTACGTCAGTCATTACATTAAATCAATAGTAGCAAATGTTATTTTTCACACAACTGTGAGTTCTATAGGAAGCACAGGGATAGGAAACTGGACCCTAACCCTACTATAAGTCCATACCCAACCCTCCAAAGGGATCCCCAAATGCCAAACCACCAGACCCACTTTCTTCATTCGGACCACCAGCTCCCATCCCGGAGTATCACTTGTCACACATTCCACCAGGCTGTGAACTCCACAGGGCAGAGAGGGAGTCGGTGTGGTTCACTATGATACATCCTGACCTGGCAAACAACTGGGCACTTAGTAATCCTCAATTCCTAGTTCCTGGCCTGACATGTCAGCTTCCCCTCACTGACTGCTGTAGAGCCAAAACCAGCTTGGGTGAGCCGCTCCTCTGCTCCATGACCTGGTTGTTGGTTTCTAATCACTGGTATTCCTTCTTCCTTTCCTGATACTTGCCGTATCTTAACATACTACATACTTGGTTCAGGAACCAAAATTCTTACTGTGGAATAGCTATGAGCCCTTAAATAAACGCAGTTCTTAAGACACGCTAATTTGAAAAAAAGGAGAGAGTCTTTTTTAGCCTGGGCTATACACAGGATGAGGCCAGTATTTATTGCAAGATAAGGAAGAAACTTGAGCCTACAAACTCCCTCCTCTGTAGGTTGCTCTTTGTGGAGAGGTGAAAATATTAATATATTTAAGTTCCTTGGAGAAAAACAAAATATTCCTAAGATATTGAAGAGCATAAAATATAAAACCTATATCAGTATTTTATAATATGGAAACATTAATAGAAAAAACATAACCAGAATTGTATAAAATGCATAAATAGAATATCAAATGTCCTTAAGCACACAATTTATTATGGCAAACCACCTACTTTAGAAATACAATTTAAAAAAAATAAATTATAGCCAGGCTATCCTGTCTGACCTCTGCCCCAGTGGACATTTTCCGTGATGACAAGTGAACCATGAGAGGATGCCCAATTGGGCCGTGATTTGTACCTGCCTTAAAATGAAACTTACGCCACAGAATGGGAGGATAAGGGACATGCTTCTCTCTATAACCAACCTGAGGCCTCACTGAGGCCTAAGCTGCCAGACCCCAGCGAGCACAAGAATCCCTGCAAGGTCATAAACACTGCAGCTTCCCGGCTCTCACCCGCAGGGTCTGGGTAGCAACCTGGAGTGAAGCTAAGGCCCTGCGTGTTCAACAGTCACTCCAGGTAATTCTAACGGAACTATAATCCTCCTAGAGTGCTTTGAGAAATGCTAGGCTATGGCATATAAATAAACAGCATAGCAACTTTAAGGAAAAATTGGTTTTTATTGAGACATAAAATATGAATATTAAATGATAGCCTACAATGCAGAGATAATATTTAATATTTAATACTAAGGAAACTTGGCCACAAAATACTTAGAATATTACAAGTTGTAGAATTTTATACCTAACTCAACTTACATCAGACTTCATATAATTTAAGGTGAATCTCAATCTATAGTAGAGTATAACTAGATCATAATATTAACCGATTTATATAAACAATAAACAGGGTTTTTCAAGCTACAGGTCACACACCTCACAATTAAAATCAACACATTACGAGGAAAACCATGTAATTTCTTATGTGCACAGGTATACATGTAGAATAATGACTCAGAAGTGGGAATGTTAAATTCAAAATATAAATGCATTTGTAAATTTGACAGACATTTCTAAAACAGCTTCTACAGAGGCTATATTATATTGCATTCCTAACAGCAAAGTATAAAAGTGCTTGTAATACTTTAATCTCACCCACCAAGCCTGTTATCGAACCTTGGGATTTTTGCCAATCTGATGGAAAAAAATTAGTATATCCCACTGTAGTTTCAAGCTGCACTTCTCTTATTATGAAGATGAACATTTTTTGTGAACTGTCTGTTCTTATCCTTCATCCACTTTTGAGTTATTGATCATCTTCTTATCAATTTGTAGGAGCACTTTATTGATTAAAGGAATGATCCCCTTTTTTTTGATCTAGGTTGCAAATATTTTCCCAGTTTGTCTTCAGCCTTGACTCTACTCTGGTGTATTTTTTCCTTGTAGAAATACTTTATCCTTAATTGATTAATGCGATAGATTTTATTTTCTTTGTGGCGTCTGGGTGTGACAGCTAGAGGAGTCAGTCTTTTCAAAAAAAAGGCAATTTGTAATGAATATGCATGAGCAGTGGCAACTCCAAAGCCACAAGGTCAGCTCACATGTAGAAGAGGACAAGCAGAGTGGCGGGAGGAGAAGCTGGGTCTGGAACTTGGGCAGTGCAACTCTGAAAGGGTTGCCCTTCCTTGAGGCACTTTTAATGCAGCTAGAGGGAGATCAAGATTAACCACGCGCAACGCGCCAACACTGTGGCATTTGCGCTTTGTGCCACAGGAGTGTGGAGGCAGCAGAAAGCATTGTGAGCCAGAAAGCAAATATACTGGGAAAGGCTTCATCTGAGACCAACTCTGAGGGAAGAGTAGACTTAGATACAGGGTCTTGCTATGTTGCCCAGGCTGGTCTTGAACTCCTGGCCTCAAGCTATCCTCCTGCCTCAGCTTCCCAAAGTGTTGGGATTACACGTGTGAGCCACTGTGCCCGGCCAAAAGCAGCATTTAAAAAAGATTATTATGGGGATTATATCTATTTTTCATAAGTAATAAAAACTTGTTTAATCTTATTTTTTTAAACTATGCTTAATAAATTAATGACAATCTTGCTGAACAACTAAATGCATGTCTGTTCTTAAATGTAAAAACAGGTAAAGGACTCCTTCAATAGTTCAAAAAGACAGAAAATTTCTAAGAAGGGAGGGACAGTAGAATAAGAATGTGTACTTAAATCTGCACATACAGCACACAAGAAATTGAGAAAAGTGGTGATTGTTGGGAAGGGGAAGTGGAGAGCAGGTGGATGGAGACAGAGTAGAAAGCGAGAAAGATATTTCACTGTAGACTTCAAATAGGTTTAATTTTTAAACTGATGCATTATATATTCTAAAAAATTACATATAAAATGAAAAACACCTTATTTTCCTACTTTACAATTACTCTGTGTGAAGGGCAATTACGAGAGCAATCATCCTTCATATGTAACTACTTTCGATTTTTTTTCTCCACAGTAACCAATTTTTAGGCCACATAGTCCCCTGGGCCTCACCCCTCCTCCCTGCTCCCTAACTTCCAGCTATAGGCAGCTACGCTCTTTTTCAGTCCAAGAGCTTTTCTTCTAAAGCTTGAGTGAACCTCATCTAATCATTACTTAATAGATTAATCATTTTACAACTACACTCTCACTGTACTTTGGAAAAATCCCTGGCCCTAAGGAATATGCACCATATAGTATTAGATGATTTAATGGTGCACAGCACTATGTCCAGACAGTGGAAGCGTAAGGCTGGGCGAAATAATTTCTATCCTTGCTAACTTCTAAATACTTTAATAATGTTTACTTTTGTAAATGCTTCACTGCTGCTAATAATACTATTCTATAAAATTTTAAGGCACATTGAAATCAGAGGAATGCTTCGGGAAAAGGTTTCAGTGTAAAATATGCTGGTGGTTCATATTTTGGAGATCCGCCTTCAAGAGATCCTACTGATACAAGCACTCTGACAAGCATGTTAGTTCTACTTCAAACAGCTGACAAAATAAAATACAAGCCCAGTGTTCTCTCTCTTGACCCCAGCTCAAATGGATACTTAGAAAAGAGGATGGAAACACCCAGTTTTCCTATATCCATGTTTAAACTTCTCCAATAGTCAAGACGGTCTTTTGGTTATGTTTAACTGAGCTATTCTGCTCATTTAAAATTCCATTTTTTCTTTACTATATCTGACAAAGATATAGATGATAGCTCAAAGGTCCTTAAAGCCTAGCACGTTTGAAAAAAGAAAAAAAAATCACACTCAACTATCTTATGAAAACTACAATTAAGGATCAGCACTGACGGTGAATGCCCACCTCAGTATTGCTAAGCGAGGACTCCCCTTCCTCACGCCTTCCTCTGATTTATGGAGCTTTGTGTATGAACTTCGGCTGGAAAGAGGCTGGATTAGTGATAATTGGTAAGTCCAAAGGACTAATACGGCAGCCAAGAAATACCAAACTTAGCAGGACTAAAGAAATGTCAACTGCTACACATTGTAGGCCCCTTGAAAAATACATCAAGTAAATGTAGTGAAGGAAAGTACACTTACCTATTTAAAAAAAAAATAAACTATACATTCATAAATATATGAATTATACATGTCATACAGCATATAGTTTCAAGTACATGGAAAGGAACTTACCAGTCATGGATGGGGACTCTTTGCGCTGCCCTCTGTCATCTTTCCCTTCGTACACCACTGTAACATCATAAATTGCATCTAAGTAATTCTTCATAGAATCAAAAGCAACATAAGTTGCCTTTATTCTTGGTGTCAGCACATGTTTTAATACTGCAAGGCCTGAAAGAGAAGTTGATTCAGTGTGGCCATAAATTAGTCACAAAACACCTCTGCAATATAATACATTAAGTTCAACATCTAAATCATTTTTAAATTTCCACAAGTAGACAGACCATAATACATTAATGCTATAACCTCACATCTCAAGGGCTTTAGGTTTAGAAAGCACTCTCACATTCCTCTATTTAAATCAACATTCATTTAATATGTATTTATTATGTATCTACACCTACAAGACACTGTGTTGGAAGCTGTCAGAAAACTGGACCTTAGGAAGCTTATGGCCTATTGGAAACCCTTCAATTTAGTAAACCCTGACAAGGGCAAATATTATTATCCTTGTTTCTGGGAGGTGAATAAATGCGGTAGCATCTTGCCTACAGTCTCTCAAGATATGTTAGGAGTACGATTCACAGTTTCTGACTCCTTTAGCTCTATTTCTGTTCAAATAGAGATGGGGGAAGAGGGTCACCTAAATGACCCCTACTGTGTACAATACCTGAAGTGAGAGCTGACATGCTCCACAGATTGTGAAAAACCAACCCAATTTTTTTTTTAATTTCAGCATATTATGGGGGTACAGATGTTTAGGTTACGTATGTTGCCCTTGCCCCCCTCCCGACCCGATATTTTTAGGATAAACTGAAGAACCTAGCTTCTTGGTATACTTTTTTTTTAAATTGACACATAATTCACATACCCTAAAATGCACCATTTTAAAGTATTCAATTCAGTGGTCTCCAGTCTACTCACAGAGCTGTGCAACCACCACCATCTACTTCCAGACTCCCAATTTTCGTCACCCCAGACGGATACCCTGCAGTGTCTGCACACACTGCACACGCCCCTTGCCACCCAGCCCCGGCTACCACTGCTCTGCTTTCTGTCTCTATGGATTTGCTTATTCTGGACATTTTACATAAATAAAACCATGCCGTATGTGACCTTTTGTGTCTGGCTTCTTTCACTAAGCATAATGTTTTCGAGGTTCATCCATGTTGCTGCATGTGTCAGTACTTTATTCCTGTTTATGGCTGAATAATATTCCACTGCAGGGACAGACCACATTTTGTTTACCTGCTTACCAGTTCATGAATACTTGCTTTGTTTTCACATTTTGGCTATTATAAATAATGCTGCTATGAACATTCATATAAACTCATATGAATACTGCACATCAATAATTTTTGTATGAACATATGATTTTAATCCTCTTGGGTGTATCTGATATACTTTTAAAAGCTTTAACTGAGGAAATGTTGCAATTTATCGAGAAGTCATCACATATTCAGCAGTGTGACTATTAGCATTAAGGATTTGTTCTTCCTTTCCTGTTTCCTATTACCTCCCTTTTCCTTGATTAAAATTTTTACTGACAATTTAAAAGAAAACAGTAGCTCTCAAGAAGAGATACGAAAATACACTAGAAAAAACTAGCCTGAATTTTCTACTGGCCTCTCTCCAGGGAAAAGCAGCTGCATAAGGAGGAACAGCTACAACATGGTGGGACTGTCCCACAGAAGAATTTTTAAAATGCAGGGTGGTGTGGGAAAGAAAAAGATTCCCACAGCCACATATCTGACTAAGTCCCCAGGGCAAAGCAGTTTAATTTATTCACAAACTTATAACAAAAATCTGAATAGTATACCAAGCTGGGAAACATTTATTTGTCAAATTAGTTAGCACTTCCTTCTTTGCTATTAGAGTTCATCCAATTTTATGAAGTGCAAAGTTTCACAGAATCACCCTGTGGTGTTCAATAAGAACAATTAATTACTAGAATCTAAGTAAGTTAGTAAGAAAATAAAGATATAAGGGTAATATTTTTTAAAAATAGAAGAGTTATAATGAAGGTTTGAAAAAGTCAGCTTTGTGACATGAATAAGAAATAGCCATTAATAATATGTAAACAAAACCAAGGAAAAAAAATATTTTTTTCCACCCATTATGACCAAATGAAAAAGCTTCTAATTGAGGAATACACTAGAAGCAGCTCTAATTACTCCAAACACATTTTCTATAACAAGTTCTCTGTATCAAACCCAAATGCTAAATATTCCAGGTTTTATTTTTCAGCTCTCAAAACAAAACAAAACAAAACAGCCAGTGAGGAAGAAGAAAAACAGTGGACTGTGGTGACACAGATGCCTGAGAGGAAAAGACCTCAAGAAGGAAATGGTCAGCTGCTTTCACTGGAAAAACTGAAAGGCCAAGAATGACAGTGACCGCCTGGCGAAACGGAGGCCCTGTGTTACCTGGACCAGTATGTTCAATGGAGCGGTAGGAAAGGAAGCTCCAAGAGTGGGTTTAAGTAAGGGGCTGATATGTGAGGTGAGAAAAAACAACCACAGCAAATTCTTTCCTGTATGTATTTATTAACACATGGCCTATTGATTTCCACGGATTCGAATGAGATATGCTTACCCTTAAAACGAACAGAACCTAGCCCTTCTTTGATAACTGAGAAGTCACTCCCCATTTCTAAACCAGAGCCCATAAACTCTAGTCCATATAGTGAATTATGTGCAATCTCTGACCAAGGGGCCTTCAACCCTGTATAGTGATGAGGTACTCACTATCCTGAAATCTTGGATCAGTATTACAAAAACAATTTCGTAATGATAATAGAGACCAATTAGAATCTCAATGGAGAGAAACACAAATAAATTCTCAATTAACTGCTCTAGCTTGAGCCCATCATATTGAGATTTGACTCTGCCTCCAGGGAACTACATAAAGGCCTTGAGCTCTAAACAGAGAAAAACGTTAATGTTAATTAAGTTAATTCTTCCTGGTCAGTATCTAGTATCTGTTCTAGTACCTGCTTTGTCTTGTTTCCATCTCGGGATCTCCTCAATTTCTACCTAGTATGACTGATGACCTACTGTACCTTCTGACAGAGCTTCTCCCTAAAAGCCATTTATGGTGGCAGTTGGGTATAACTGAAATTTTGCAGTGAGTATTATATTTTGGAAACATTATAAATAAATGATAAACACACTGGACAAAAAGACTAATGATCAATTTAGAAAATTTTACATTAATATATAGAATTCAGACTACAATATATTTAATATGTATTATCTCACTCAATTTCCACAAATTAACTGAGGCTCCGAGAGGTAAAATGACTTGCTTAAAGTCATACAGCTAACAAGACTTTATAATATCTAGTTCAGTATTTTTTCTGTTTTGTAATTATTAGTAAGCAAGATACTACTCTAAAACAATATACATGTAGATCAGAGATTAATGAGGCAATAAAAATAGCTAGAGTATATGATAGAATATCTCGAGAGAGATATCAAATATTCTAAGAATATAAAGATATTACTCATATTTCAAGAGAATGCCCAGTTTTGTTAGTCCTTCCATTTTAACCCTTAGTATCAGCTACCAATGTTTGCCATTATCAGTAGACTTAACCTGTAGTGGTCCCTTCTCCTCCACATTCTAAGGTAGTACTAATGACTTGTTAACTATTACATACTAGGCTTTCTCTAAATATTATGTCACTAAATCCTCACGAAAATCTTGTAAGATAGCTATTATAATCCCTGGCTTACAAATAAGGTTAGAGGTAGAAATAAACTAACTTAAGGTTACATAACTAATATGAGCTTGGGAATACAGTCCAAAGTTAGTGATAATGTTCGTCTATGACTAAATACTGGCCCAAGAGTGATACTTGATAAACGCCATAAGGAAAAGTTGAAAAGAACTTTGAGAGCCTACCCCCAGCTGATACAGCCACTGCAAATATGACTTGAGGTATATTGGTAAAGTCATCTTAGACTTTCCAGCCCCAGTCAAACTTCTACCTAAATGCAGTAAAATAAGAGATCATAGCAGACCATGTGGAAGAGAGAGAAGAGCCAGCCCCGCTGAGCTCTACCCAAAGTATAGAATTGTGAGCAAATAGATGGTTATTACCGTTTGAAGTCATTAAGTTCTTGGTGGTTTTTTACAAAGCAATAGATAACTGAAATAAGAATAAGATTTTAAAGTATGGTAGTAATTGTGGGAATAGAGAGAAACTCCAGATTTTGCTGATTTGTTGTATGTTTGGATGGATAAAGGGAAGAATCTAGGATGACTCCCAGGTTTTGGACTGAAAGATGGAGTTACCAAGATAGTAAATATGAGTGTATGGGTGGAAGGATAAATTGTATCTTTGACATACTGAATTTGAGAGATGCCTTTGGGCCAGCCAAGTGAAACTCTCTAAAGAGCAATGGTATAATACATATTGGTCTAGAATTAGGCAGAGAGATATATAATGGGAAAAAGCTTTTCGTGAGTCATCAGCAGTCAAATGGTGGCTGAAGCCATGGATTTAGAGGAAGAGCACCAAGAAAAACAAAGAAAATGTAATGAATGTAAAACCAAAGTCAGATACAGAAACAATATATGAAATAGGAAAGGATGAAGCCGAAGAAGAGGCTAGAAAAGACTACGAAGGAGTCATCATAGAGGTAGAAGGAAAATGGAGAACACCCTACAGAAGTCTAGGGAGAGAATTTCAACAGGAAAGTATCAAGAATTTCCTATCAGATCATAATGAAGTGAGGGCTGAGTGAAAATTGAAAAAGTGGATACAATCAAGGTAGACTACAGATTCAGAAGGCTTTGGCTGTTAATGAAAGAGAGAAATGATACTATCAAGAGGAAAATGTAAAATTGAGGGAGAGCATTTTTTTTTAAATGTGCAAAGGGCAACAGAGACAATGGTATTGCAAAAGAGCAACTGAAATGAAAGACCATGATGTCTAGACTAGATAAGAGAAGGCAGAAAAAGTCAAAGGGGAATTGACAGATAGGGAGACAAATTGAACCCTCCTGTTCCGGAGCCGCTCCTTGCTACCAGGTGTATGTACCTGGAGCAAAATAAACAAACTAACATTCTTAAAATGTATCGTTACAAAGGATCTCTTGCACATGTGACATACCTTCTCTTGCAAGCACCTTGTAAGAGTTCCACCTTATTTCAATTAAAATACAATTACAAGCTCATTTCCTCTGATACACTAGTCATATTTTGAATGCTCAGCAACAGCACACTGGACAGAGCAGATAAAGAACATCACCATTAATGCAGGGCGTCCCAATAGACAGCACTGTCACAGACTCTGGCATAACATCACCAACAAGACACCTGCTCAGCTAGTGCTTGCTTATCTGCACATGGAGATCACATACTAATGCACAGCCCATCTTCAAAAGACATCTCTGAGAACACATCATAGACACTGTTTACTATATACTTCCCAATTGGTTATCTTGCATAGCTTATTATGTACCAATTATCTAATTTTCTAAAATATGGGTATTAAGAACATTATCGCTGTTGAAGACATTAATAGCTTCCAAGTACTGTGAACCAACTTTGTGTTATATTCTCTATCAGGAACTTCACATATTTTCTAATTTAATTCTTACACAGATTTAGGTCTACTCATAAGGTGTATATTCTTTTAAGAGATGAAGAGGCTGGGCGTGGTGGCTCACACCTGTAATCCCAGCACTTTGGGAGGCCAGGGCAGGAGGATTCCTTGAGGCCAGGAGTTTGAGACCAGCCTGAGAAACATGGCAAGGCCCCATCTCTACAAAAAAATTTTAAACATTAGCCAGGTGTGGTGGCGCACGCCTGTAGTCCTAGCTATTTGGGAGTCTGAGCTGGAAGAATTGCTTGAGCCTGGGAGCTGGAGGTTGCAGTAAACTGAGATTGTGCTACTGCACTGTAGCCTGGGCAACAGAGCAAGACCCTGTCTCAAAAAAAAAAAAAAAGAGCAAGAGAGTGATGAAGAAACTGAAGGTCAGTAACATCAGGCAACTTGCAGTCATATAGCTAATAAAAGTCAGAGTTCAGATTGCAACTTAGGTCTGTCAACCTACAAAATAGAAACTTACACGTAACCCACACTGTAGAAAAAGTTTTCATCTAGATAGATTTTAACAAAATCCATAGCACAGGAATATGCATTGTACCAAGCACTTGAATTTAATCTCTCAGACATATGTAATAGCATACAAATGAATTTAGGAAAAGAAATTTCACTTCCTAAGAGATAATATATATGTTCACTCAAGGAATGAATACATTTGTCCATTCAATTGTTGTAAAACATACATATCTTCTCTAGGAAGAAAACAAAAAGGTCTTTATCTTTAAAAGTTGTTTGTTCAAATATAGTCAAACTTTAACTTACCTTTTTGAGCAGCAAATGCCTGACTAGCTGAAAGGAGTTTTGTTTGTCGTGGATTATATCTTGTACCTTCTGGGAAAATCACAAGATACATCTGTGGGGCATAAAGAAAATTTGGTTTATTTTGTGAGAGTTTTAATATCACTGCTGTTGTTGTTAACCATGCTAACCACACTAATGCTAAGTATTTCCTACGGAGGGATAAAAAAGTATATTCCTTTATTTACGACCTTCATTTCAAGCAGAACCATCAAAATGCAACAATTCAATTAAGTCTGAACATAATATGGACTACATTTAAAATGTAGTCCTGGCCAGGCGCGGTGGCTCACGCCTGTAATCCCAGCACTCTGGGAGGCCGAGGCAGCTGGATCACTCAAGGTCAGGAGTTCGAGACCAGCCTGAGCAAGAGCGAGATCCCGTCTCTACCAAAAATAGAAAGAAATTAATTGGGCAGCTAAAAATATATAGAAAAAAATTAGCTGGGCATGGTGGCGCATGCCTGTAGTCCCAGCTACTTGGGAGGCTGAGGCAGAAGGATTGCTTGAGCCCAGGAGTTTGAGGTTGCTGTGAGCTAGGTTGACGCCACAGCACTCACTCTAGCCCGGGCAACAAAGCGAGACTCTGTCTCGGGGAAAAAAAAAAAAAATTAAAATGCAGTCCTACATTCGCTGGTATATCAGTCATTAAGAATCTAAAAACATTTCTAATTACATGCTAATAGCTTACTAGTTAAAAATTTGGTCATGAAACCCTGACTTGCATAAAGCTTCAATTAATGAAACAACCTTTCTCCCCAAGATCCTGTAATATGACATTTTTAAAAGGTAGAAATTTTAGAGATCAGTACCCTCAAATATCAACACTAAAAAGTACATTTCATTTTAGGAAAATCATATATAAATACCTACATTTCCAGCATGTAAAAGGTAGTAAGTGTTCATATTGCAAAAGGTTCACACAGAATTCCTATGTTACACAGCTTCCTTAATGCATTTTAAATGACTTAATTTATAAGCAACCTCATATTTGTTACATAAATTGTACTTGAAATAATGCATTTATAAATAAAGGAAAATATTAAGCTGGATGTTTATTAAGTATCCAATTAGCCTAAGCTTTTACACTTACCCGCTTGGGAAGGTAAAAACAGAAACATTAAAATTATACAGCAAAAGGCCGGGCGCGGTGGCTCACGCCTATAATCCTAGCACTTTGGGAGGCTGAGGCGGGCGGATTGTTTGAGCTCAGGAGTTCGAGACCAGCCTGAGCAAGAGCGAGACCCCGTCTCTACCAAAAATAGAAAGAAATTAATTGGGCAGCTAAAAATATATAGAAAAAAATTAGCCGGGCATGGTGGCGCATGCCTGTAGTCCCAGCTACTTGGGAGGCTGAGGCAGAAGGATTGCTTGAGCCCAGGAGTCTGAGGTTGCTGTGAGCTAGGCTGACGCCACAGCACTCTAGCCCAGGCAAAAGAGTGAGATTCTGTCTCAAAAAAAAAAAAAAAAAATTATACAGCAAAAAAAACTTCTAACTTGAGAACTAACTTACAAAAACTATACTAATAGTTTTGATTGATAGCCAAAAGACAAAAATAAGACACTCATACCAAATCTTTTCAAATACAAACAGAATATAGGAGTTCACGGGAGAAAACTATGTTCATTTCATCCATTCTTGCCATATACCAGACAATACTGTCTACCTATATACATTTGGTACAGCAGATTAGGATCAAACTCTTCCAAAGTTTCATTTGAAATACTGGTATAATGGTGTCTCTGAAAATTTTCCATTTTCACCTTCCATGCAAATATACAAGTTTTTTACTCATCTATATAATAATCTTCAGAACCCATTATCATATCTGATGATGAAGACTGACCAGATCTGTCAGGAAAATGTAGAAAAATGGGTAAAATTAGGAAAAAAATTAAAAATTCCTTATTATATTCCAGCAACTAGAAGGAAAAACAGGAGGAAAAATATTAAAAAAACCACTGAACTGTATACTTTAAAATGGTGAATTTTATGGCATGTGAATTATACCTCAATCCTGAAAACTAAAACAAAAAAACCAAAACCAAAAAATCCATCACTACCTCTATTTTCCACAAGTCAGCAAATAGGGTTCCAAATTTTAAAAGGGACCCATTATTACACAGAATAAAAGTTACATTTTAAAAGTAAAATACATACCCGTGATTTCATTTTGCTAAAAAATAAATAAAAATAAAAAGTAAAATATAGTTTGGTGGATGTATAAAGTCATGAATAAACACCAAATGAATGTTATTTTATGACCTCCGCTCCACAAAGTCAGTGATATTCTACAGGAAATCAACCTTCCAGAAAATGTACCTGAATGCCTGGCTCCAAAACCCAGCTTCTCCACTTACAGGACCTGAGACCTTGGATATACTCTTATCCTCTTTGTGCCTCAAATTTCCTCATCGAGAAAATGAAAATCATAACCGTACCTACACCTCATAGAGATAGTGTGAAGGTAAAAGGCAGTACTACACAAAAGCTACTTACTATACTACTTGGCACAAAATCCTGCAATTTGCTGTTGTTTCAATTACATCATAGACCTGCTTTAGAAATCTGAGATGACCCATTTGGTGGAAGAAGAGCAACAGGATGAAAGTCATTAATTATCCCAACCTGGTGCTCTGCCTTCCCAAGGTCAGTCTTAACGTGTCACAATCGCAGGAACGACTTCTTCTAAAGGCAGCATGGCTAGAGTAGTACTCCTAGTTCTCTTTCCTGTAGGTCTGCCATGCATGGCAGATAGTACAGATGGAGCCTCAAGATTTAAAAATAAAACTTTTTTTTCCTTCTTCAGGTGATCTTATCTATTAATTTCTTTGCTAGTGGTTTCAAATTGCTGACAAAAAAAACAGCTTTTTTAGTTCCCAAGAGAAATGGAGAAAGTGGCCACATAGGAGGGGGAAAGATTAAAAATGGAACATCAGAGCAAGAAAAGAATTACCACAGGGCAGTCTGATATTTCTGGACCCTCTTCTCAATTAGACGTAATAAAAATGAAATCTCTGCGCAAGGACGGGGGAAACAGAGTACAGAAAGAAACTGGCAAACTATTACAAACAAACCAAATTATGTAGAAAATTTTTTGCTATTATACACATAAATACCCCATTGGGCTAAATTTTCATTTGAAGGAATCAGAGATTCCGTTCTCTTCTGTGATGACTTCCCATATTCAGAAAAACCTATAATCAAGATTTGATATACCATAGATACTTTGGCATCTGATAGAAAATTAGCAAGCTAATTCACATTAAAAACCTATTCAAAAAGAAAATAGCTATTTTAGTATTTTAAATATATTCAAATTACAAACAACTATTGAACTGATGACTTTCTATTAAAAATAGCCTACTCTCCATGCATTGGATAAGTTAATTTACTTTTTAACTGAGTCGTAGCTTCTCATTCCAAAATGAAGACTCAGGGTTGCTATAAGGATTAAAGGAAATATGTGACAATATCAAGCACTAGTGGCAGACTCTTAATAAGTATTAAGTTTCAGGCTGGGTGAGGTGGCTAATGCCTGTAATCCTAGCACTCTGGGAGGATCATTTGAGGTCAGGAGTTTGAGGTTGCAGTGAGCTGTGAAGATGCTACTGCACTCTACCCGGGGTGGCAGAGTCAGACACTGTCAGTTTCCTCCTCTAGTCTTTAAAAATTCTATTTAGTTTATTAAATAGTTTTTAAAGCTGGCACATTTATATAGAAACCATATCACAGGACTCAATAAACTTTGATTAGCTGTAAGTCTGTTAATTACTGCTTTCTCTTTAAAAAGCTATTTCATATTGAGATACATAGACTATAAACAAGATACTTCATCTCTGCAGTATGTCCAAAATTAATCTAATCCATCAAACCACAATCTTTATAAAGTTTACTACAATTATAATCAGAAACACTCAACTCATTAAAAATTCCATTATATATTTACAGAGAAAAAAATACAAAAACGTGGCAGAATACAAAATAACAATCTCTTTCCTCAAGAACTTATGGAAGTATGGAAGCGTTATATGTATGATCAGAAAACAATTATAAAATCACACAGATACATACATGAGTGTGGTAGGCAGAATAATACTTCCCCCTACTCCCCCATCCATCCACATTCTAATCCCCACAACCTATGAATACATTGTTAACATGGCAAGAGGGAGCTAAGATTACTAACCATTGGACCTTAAAACAATGAGGTTATTTTAGACTATCCAAGAAGTCTAATGTAATTATAAGAGTCCTTAAACAGAAAAGAGGGAAGCAGGGGTCAGAACCAAGGAGACCGCCAGCAAAGACAGACCAGGCCAGCCACTGCTGGCTGTGAACAGGGAGAGAAGGCGTGAGCCAAGGAATGCAGGCAACCTCTAGAAACTAGAAAAGGCAAGAACATGGATTCTCCCTGAGAGTCTCCAGAAAGTACCTCAGTCCCACCAACACCTTGATTTCGATCCAGTGAGACCCATGTTGGACGGCTTGACGAAACGGTTAAGCCAAGAATGGTTAGGATGATAAATCTGTGTTATATTAAGCCAGTAATTTGTGCTAATTTGTTAAAGCAGCAATAGAAACTATTAATAAGACAGTATAATTTTCAAGCATGTTATTTAATCCCAGCTACCAAATTAAGTAGTTATTAATAGATTTAATACATAAACTAAAGCTGAGAAAGGTTAAGTGACTTGTGCAAAATAAAGTTTAAAAATCAGATCTGGAATTTAAGTCCAAAACTCATTTCTAAGCCAATACTTTTATTCACTAGACTGCCTCTCATCTGAAAAGGAACTAGAATAAAAGTTGGAAGAAAAGCAAAGCATCAGTCTCCATATTTGTGCCATAAATTTTACTAGCTCAAATTCTGACTAAATGATCTCTACAAATAAGTAGTTATTTTTATCATAAATATGTTTAATTTGCATCTACAACTAATAAGTACCTTATGAAAATACTGTATTATCCCAGCAATAATTATGGAGAAGATATATTTCTTCATATTAATAATTTATAATATTCATTTTTGAAACAGAATTCTGTAATCTCTCACTACTAAGAACTGAATTAATCATGAAATAGATTCATATGAGAATATTAAGCCATATGAAAGGTGACTTGATAAATATATTTTACCATGTCAATCACTTAATTAACTTTCAGAAACAAAAGCGTATAATGAAGAACCTGAGCAATATATATGTTTTCATAGGGCTTAAATATTAAAAAATTTAACAACCATCTGGATTCTAAGAAGCCAGACCTTGTACACACAGTGACCTTAAAGCAACAACCACTCAACATTGCCTTATGAGCCTGCTAGTCTACTATTCAATATTGTGCTAGGAACATAAAAAGCTAGATAGACTCTTGCCCTTGAAAACAGGGAGGTTCTTCTGGTAGCCAATAATAAAAGACTAGGTTATTTGAACCAACTTTCCTATCGAAAACAATTTTAAAAGTTGGATATAATATTATTTTAAAAGTATTAAAGCTGACAGGCTGGTAAGACCAAAATTAAGCAAATACAGTAAAGCAGAAGTAAGCATTGAATGGAACTTTTATTTTAAAAGACTTACAAGATGAGGGGAACAGAAATCAAAGTCCATGGACCTTCTTTTAGAAATGTTAAGAGTGAACCAGAAGGGAAGGAAACAACGAAGGTTACACTCAAGGGATAAAAGTAAACCAGAGGTAACACCAGTCTCACGAGGAGTTGCAACCCTGGTTGCATTGCCTGAAGGTCCAGTTAACCTTAAGTTCAGAATTTGGTTTGGGTGGGGCCCAGACTAGAGCAACCGGAATGGGGCCCAGCCAAAGCAGGTACAAAGGTTCTCTGGAGGAAGGCACTTTCATCCGAAGCTTCAACTGATTTCTAGAAATAATTTTCCAAATACAGTCAGTAGCAAAGGAAGATAACCAAGCACACAAGGAAAGAAGGCACCCTGAGCAAGAACCAGCAGAAAACAATAGACTCAGATGGGACTTTAGGCACTGAAATGACCAAACCCCTCTTATAAACTGTACCTTCAATATTTAAAGAAACAAAGACAAGCTTGAAGGTTAAAACAAAAATAACAGATCTACAAAAAACCATATAGCACTTCATACAATGAAAAATACAATAAATTAAAAACACTGGCGTTAAATGGATTTGTGGTACACTAGATTGTATCTTGAATGGAAAAAGGACAATTAGTGGAAAAACCGGCGAAATCTGAATAAAGTCTGCAATACAATAGTATCGTATCAATGCTTATCTCTTAGTTTTGACAAATGGTTATGTAAGACGACATTAGCTGTCACCATTAAAACTGTAGTAGATGAAGAGTAAATGAGAAAATTCTGTCCTTTCTGTGCAATGTTTTCGTAAATCTAAAACTATTCCAAATTTTAAAATTTTTTAACAAAAATAGAGGGTGGCTTCCATAAGTATGTAAAATGTGGAAAGAGTATTGCTCCCAACCCTACAGCAACAACACTGGACAATCTGTAAATTGACAATTTTTCTTAGACCCTTCAGAGAGCTGAAGAGTTACAAGGCAATCAACCAACCCAAAAATCTAAGGAGAGAGATAATTCAAGGAGAGATGAGATGCAAGCACTTATTTACTTGGGGCAAATGTTAACAGATACCAGTAAAAAGAATTTAGCTAAAATTTTTAATAATTCTCAAAAATCCAAGTGTGAGTAGGTGGATGAGAAGAACTCCTGGGGTTGCAGACACAAGGAGAATTCGCCCCAACTCACAGCTCTACTCACAGACCTCATCATGTACTCAAAAAAGAAAGGAAGAAAGAAGGAAAAGAGAAAGGAAAAACGCTGGGGTCAGGGCTACCCTGGATGCAGGCGTGGGGGAGGACACCAGCCCTGCTGGTGAGGCGCAAGGCGCAGCATACACTCTTCCCCTCCTCTATCCTTCCTATGGAACAGCTGCCTTAAAGTGGTGGAAGAAGGGCAACAAAACCCTGCTACCCTTGGGACATGGATAAAACCCAGTAAGGCTGGGGGAAGAGAACAGAAATGAAAAAAACCCTCTATGGAGGGAAAGGCAAGAATACATCCTGGGCACAGATTTAGAGCTGGAAGCAATGGAAGATCAGAGAAGGCTCCACCCCCCAGATCTTCCCTAAGACTTAATCAGAACAAAAAGACACTTTCCTTCCTTCTCTCTCCACCACCAAGCTAAGGGAGAGTTCAGTAACAAATTTCAGAGAATGACCGTGGTGAGGAGTACAAAGACGAGACCCACCTTGAGCTACTATGTTAAAAAGCTAAGCGTGGAATAGATATTGAGGAAAAGTGCTTTAGCAAAACATCCCCCATCCTAAACAGAAAGAATGAATACTACAGGAATTTGAAGTCTGTGAGTAAAATTACAGTAGTAGCAAAACCCAAATCCAGTACAACTCCTGACTGGACAGACTCACCCCCCAACACTAAAGGCCTAGCAAAAAGAAAAGTATATCCATTTCCAGGTATCGAAACAATTTGCCTCAGTTTCTACTGTCCTACACAAGATGCTCAACTTTCAACAAAATCTTAGGAAGCATTAAAAAAGGCAAGATAAAGCACAATCTGAAGAGACAAAGCAATCAAAAGTACCCGATTCAGGTATGGCAGACACGTTGGAATTATCAGACAAGGAATTTAAAATAACTACCAGTGACATGATAAAGGTTCCAAGGGAAACGGTGGATGACCTTTATGATTGGATATCTTCAGCAGAGATGGAAACTATGAGACAGAATCAAAGAGAAACGCTAGGAATGAAAAACTCAGTCAGAGACGAAGAGGGCCTTTAACTGGCTCATCAGTAGACTCGACACAGCAGAGGGAAGAATCAGTGAACTTGAAGATGGGCCAACAGAAGTTACCCTTACTGTAACATACAAGAAAAAAGGGGAAGGGGGGCAGAATAATGCATCCAAGAGCTGTGGAAAAGTAACAAATGACCCAACACACACATAGTTGGAGAAGAGAGAACAGGGTAGGAATAATATTTAAAGAAATAACTGCAAAGAATTTTCCAAATTAATGAGACACCAAACCAGAGATCCAAGCTCACAGAGGATCAACCAGGATAAATTTTTTAAAATGACACTCAGACATATAATACTTAAACTGCTGCAAACCAAAAACAAGGAGAAACTTGAAGGCGCTCAGAGAAAAAGGATGTACGATAAATACAGCAGAATTTATCAACCTCGGCACTTTTGACAACTATATTTACAGGGGGGGAAAAGCAAGGGGGAACTGTGTGCAGAATGCTAACACTCATGTAAAGAGGGGCTACATTTGTTTGTTTCCTGTGTACAACGCTTAAAGCAGAATACACAAGAAACTCCATAGCAGTTAAGTGTGGCTGGGGTGGCTGGCCAGCTGGAGGAAGAAGTGGGATGGACACTTTAAGGTATAAATTCATGATTTTTAATTCAAAAATGCTTTTTAAAAGAAAGTAGATATACATATACATAGTGCCAATCTATTCTCTTTTGGAGATCTATAAACAATGACCGCAATTCTGCCAAAATTCACCATACTATTTCAAAATAAGCAGGCTCTTTTAAAATACCACACTTGGTTTTTGAGGGTAAACTGTAACAGGATAAAGGGCCACTGTTCATCTCATTACATTCTACTCCCTTCACCCCAAAACAGGATGCAATTTCCTAATGTAAAAACACCTAGAAAATGTACATGAGTAAACGATGTTCACACTGGGCACTCTACCCGCTGACGCTGGAGAACTCTTCCTTCACCGTGAGCTCTGGCTGCTGCCTAGGAGCCCTAGCGAGGGGAGGGCAAAGAGGAGGAGGGGGGAGAAAGGGGAGAAGGAAGCACAAAGAAAAGAACTTGTGCACGTGAGGTAAGCTTCTGAGCACTTGGAATGCACTGAAAGGTAACGCCCAAGGAGCCGTTATAACCAGGTGGCTCTGTCCTGGCAAGAGTCATGGGGAAAAGGCACTGGCAGCCACCAGCATCCTTCAAACAGAAGATTGAGATCCTCCCCCACCTTTTTTGGAGCAAAGTTTTATAAAATACTATTTACATTGAATGATTTTTCATTTGTAGACATTCATACTTTTTTGGTTTTTTAAATAACTCAGCACATACAAGAAATCCAAACTCACACTGACAGAGAACAGCAGCTGCTTCTAAAACTAAATCTGATGCTAAAGAAGATAAGGAGTTAGATGAGCTCTTGAAGTGGCTTCGATACGGGGTTACAAGGGCAGTTCTATTTTCTATTTATAGACTCTGAAGGACACCAAGTGTTCTTTTTATTCCTCTTGAAGGTCAATATTGACAACTACCAGCAAAAAATCTAATCATCTACAACAATCTTTCTAATGGCCAAAGAAAAATGCTTACCTATATTTAGAGAATTTTTGTTGCTTCAACAAAACTGAATTATTAATTACACATGGGATAATATATTTTCAAAATAATTCTTGGATTTTAAACTTAATTCTTAAATTTAAAAGTGAGAGTTGATGAGAAAAATAATAAAAATGGGCATAATCTTACCGGAGTTCCTGTGTTCACGTAGCTCTGCAGCTTGTTTCTCATTTCTTTTTCATTAAATTTGGCACTTCGCTTTACGTAGATTCCTCCATGCTGCCACATAAAAAAAATTGGGAGGAAAAGAGGATTTACTCTTAAAAAAACTAATGGCTATAGTCATCAAAAAGGCAACTTTGCTTCTAAAGAATAAAGAATAAACAAATATTTCAGAATTTGGACAATATTCAATAAATTTAAATATTAGCATCTTAACATTTAGCTAAAAATTCTTGTTTCAACATAATTCAAATAAAACTGCATGCTACATTGTACTGAAAAATATATGAACATTTATTTTTGTTGAGAGTTAAAATAAAAATGCTTTCTTTCTTAAAAACACATTTTTTAAAATAAAAATCTTGATCAATCAGTTGGATCTTAACCTCCAATTTTTCCACTAGAAAAGTGTCTTTAAAATGTCAACACACCAATCTTTAGGGATTTTAAAAAAATCAGCCTAGCTAGATATTTATGTGGCACTCTTATGGACTGAATTGTGTTCCCCCAAAATCAGTATATTGAAGCCGTAACTCCCACTGTGACTGTATTTAGAGATGGGGACTTTAAGGTGGCAATTGAGGTTAAGGAAGGCCCTAAGGGTGGGGCCCTGATCCAACGTGACTGGTGTCCTTCTAAGACGATGAGCAGATACCAGGGGTGAACGTGCCTGGGGAAACGAACACGTGAGGACACGGGGAGAAGGCTGCTGTCTGCAAGTCAAGGAGAGAGGCCTCCAGAGAAACCAACCCTGCGCCAAAACCTTGATCTTGGACTTCTATCCTCCAGAACTAGACAATACATTTCTTCATACTAAGTACTTTACATATATAGCTCGAGGTTTTTTTATATCATACAAATCACTAATTACTTTTATAATTAGTTTCTTAAGATAATAGCCTATCGTATTCTATGCCTTTACATTTTCTGTTTGACTTTTCTGCATTTGCATTTTTCCTCTTTCATTTAACTTAATTACAGTTGGCCCTCTATACGTGTAGTTTCCACATCCCACAGATTCAACCAACCATGAATTGAAAATATTTGGGGAAAAATAAAAACAAAAAACAACAATGTAACAAAAAATAAAAATAATGCGTATAACAACTATTTACATGGCTTTTACATTGTATTAAATATTACAAAGTAATCTAGAGATGATTTAAAGTATACCAGAAGATGTGCCTAGGTCATATGTAAAAACTATGCCATTTTACATTAGGGACTTGAGCATCTGTGGACTTTTATATCTGTGGGGGTCATGAAAACAATCCCCTCCAGATGTTGAGAGACAACTGCATATGGATAACCAGACATGTATATAAATACACACCATTAAAAATACCAAACAAAATTACTTCAATTTAGAATATGCTGTTAAACCCATTTAAAAAATCATCCATTTATATAAATATGTTAACATGTTAAATTTTAAGATATAGAAGTTTTTATAAACTACATAAAGAGAGAGCATGGACAAAGTTACCTGAGGAAAATAACACCCATACAGTGGAAGCCATTTTAGGCGATCTTTCAGCACATAGCGCACATGTCCAAGAGCATTCTGCCTAATGGCTAGGACGTCAGCAACAATCCAGTCAACTGCAAAGACAGAACCCAATCAGTGCCAGGGCATACATGGTTGCTATGTCAATCCCAGCATTCCCTTCGCAGAAACAGAAAAAGTCTCTTCACAGGACTGTATTAGGAATATGTTTTGAAAATAGTATGATTAGAATGTTTAAAATTACTTTAAATCAATACCAGATAATTTAAAAATATAAATTCTGTGTTTTGGAAGCTTTTTAAAAATATTTCTTGAAAGGCTTTTTGTTTCGGGGATAAAACACGAAAGTCACAAAACACCAAAATAATTCAACAGCAGCATGTACGTGGAATAAAATGAGCTTCTCTGATTCCTAAAGTTTAGACAACAAAGATGTTTTCTTTTTTAACAAAAAAATGGGAAGATAGCTAAATGAAACTATCAAGTGCAACTATTCCGTGTGTGTGTGTGTGTGTGTGTGTGTGTGTGTGTGTGTATACACATGTTCAACAAAAGGTAAGGACACTATCTTTACTAATGAGTTTTTAGGACTCAGTACTAGGTTACAATGGCATTCTAACGAAGGTCTCGCGTGTCTCAAAACTGTGGTAGGTTAATATATGTGTTCCTTACATAACCAAGGGACATGGTCCCCAGCTGCTAATAACTATAATTTTATAGATATGGTTTTAACAAAAGGTTGCAAAAACAAGAATAAGAAGGTGTGATCAAGCCGATAACAAAAGCGCCAAAAACTTCCTAGAATTAAGTTAGTTGAGCCTTAAAACAGAGGAAATTCCCAACAGAGAGTGGCCATTAGCAGAGCAAACAAACACAGAGCAGCAACCTGGGTGCAGAAGACGGCAAACAGGGACACGGTTTGAAGAGATGTGAGGGAGACTTTTCTAGTTAATCTACAAATGAATTCTATGACGGGATCCTTGAAAAGAAAATTGTTATGAATCTGTGGAAAGAATACAGTTCTAGCATCACATGTATGTTGAGGCCACGAAAATGAGAACAAAAGTGAACCAGAGAGGGAAATGTTTTTTAAAACACTGTAGGAAATAAAAGCTGGGGATTTAAAGGAATTAGAATAAAGTTTTAATCAAAAGGGACAGTTTTCCACAGATTACAGGGTGATTAACTCTCAGCTACGTGAAATCCTTTAGACAATGCACCATACCAGATAGACTATCCCTAAAGGGCCACTTAAATACTGAAAATTAACCTAGAAAAATATTTTTATCGATTACTATACATGTCTTTTTAATCAGGGATTACTATTCACAAGTTAACTTTTTCCTGATGATGTAAGGCTTAGGATTATATATATAAATTTTGTTATGGCTCCCTATAAATAGAATATTGCCTGCAAAGGTTTTCCCCCTGTGCTGTGCGGTCCCTGACAGCTGTGTCTATTAGTTTGAGACATCTACACTACAGGGCTTTCAATGATCACTTTTCTCCAAAACATGTAACTTCCTATTGAAGCCCTCTCACCAGCCCCTTCTCTCTAATTCAGATCAAATAATTATTGACAAGCACATTTCTTTCTGATCATATCTTGGAAACCATATAATCAGCCAGTTATAACTGTGTCTAATATAAAATTAAACAAACCGAATAAATTCTAAGACTAATTTTGTACAGTTCTGTATGGTTCCCAGGCAAAAGTACATCTTGGAAACATATTTGGAGTATAAAGCTAAAAGCCAAATTTGGCACCTTTTCCTGCAACAACTTAAAGTTTGGAAGGATAAAAAAATACATTTTTAATACTAAAACATAGTTATATTAATATTACGGCCTCAGATGCACCTTCCAAGAACTTTATAAAATAAAGTATAAGATTTCCAAAATATGTCATATTCATAATAAACTGCCCTGGGCTCTGCCATTTACACTTGAAAATCTTAATGGAAACAAATGTTGAAAGATACAAGCTTTGTGTCATCAACATTTTCTACGAAATTATCTTTTTTAGTTTTTGTTTATTCTCAGCTAGGTTTCAGATAGGTGACACTAGAGTACAGCTGAGATGGTAATAAATGTTACCTTTACAATAACTATTCATATTTTGTGTTCTGGCATGAATGACTTGATTAAAATATCAATAAATCTGGCTATGTAAAAATTCTTAAATAGTGATCCAGCCAAAACAGTGTCATTGTTTCCATTAACTTGGAAGAGAGTGGAGGGCAGTGAGGAAAGGGCAGCAAGATTTTTCTCGTCTATATCACTATGTAATAACTGTTTCTAAGAGTAGTGTGTGGTCTAAAATAGACACTGCACATGAAGCCCTTACCTACCCTGGATCCAGCACTGTGCTAACGGTTAGCTTCAGTGATCATCATCACTACCACTGTTAACATCCTCTATGGGCCAGGCCCCCTACAGGGATTATGAGATAGCCTACATAAACTGCAACTCACACCTTACCAACAAGGCTCTGAGAGGTTAACAAATTTGCATGCAAAACAGCATACAAAGCAGGGTCTCTCTGACTCCAAAGCCTATGCCTTTTCATGACATTCTACTCACCAAGCACACTGTTAGTCAAGAAAGTGACACCTAATCCAAGAAAAGGGAGCATTTCATGAGACTGAAAAGGTAAAAGGTGTCAAAAGCAGATAGTTAAAGGACAGGGAAAGGAATAATAGCCACTATATCCTTGCTGACTCTGGAGAGAAATAAATTAACAGAGACTAAGGATATAGAGACAACAAGGGTACGTTAAGTGAAAACCAGGGAGGAGAGACTGATTTAAATGTCAATTCTTCTGAACATTAGTTAGGCCAGGAAACTCATTTACTCTGGCAGGCAGAGCAGAGAGCAGCCTAGAAAGTCTAAGCAGAACAGCAGTCCTTCAAATGTTCTTTCTGCTAATTACACTTTCCGAACTATTCCATTGTGACTCTTACTATCTCAAAAAGGTTTTAAAAGAGCACCTAAACACAACAGGCCAATGACCCAGGTCTTCGGCTAGGCTCTGGAACCCTAAAATTATATGCAAATTTGTATGTGCACATTTTCCTAGGAAAAGGCTCATCACATACTCACTAAAGCCTGCAAATCTAAAGTAATTTAAAATCACTCCTTTGGTATTTTCCCAAGTTATGGAGTTTTAAAAGACATTCAAAAAGTAGCCTTCCCAAATCCCAAAGGCGACCAACCGGTGAGAGGATGTAGTGCTAGAGCAGGGCTGAAAAGTCAGAGGCACTGGGGGGGCGGGGTGGGGAGGGGAGGTGGTTCTCTCTAAACTGACAAATGGAACTTTTTCAGGTCAGTGCAGGCTGAGTAAGATCATGTTTTTCATAGTATCTTTTAGAGCCAAATACGAGAATTTTTAAAAATCTGTTTTTTCACAAATATTTTCCCAGAAGTCCTCACTCTGAAGGAATGTAGATGAAGGCCAACATATAGTAAGCACACAAATGAGAGCAGCAGTTGTTTTATCATCATTATTACACCTCCGGCAACGTTCAGAAAGTGCTTATTCCACACCTCAGTGCCAGGACCACAGCTTTGTTAATACAACACTGTTTACACTAAAACCTGGAAAAAGGAAAGTTGGCGGGGAAACTGAATAAGAAATTTTTTTTTTTTTTTTTTTTGAGACAGAGTCTCACTGTGTTGCCCAGGCTAGAGTGCCGTGGCATCATCCTAGCTCACAGCAACCTCAAACTCCTGGGCTCAAGCGATCCTCCTGCCTCAGCCTCCTGAGTAGCTGGGACTACAGGCATGCGCCACCATGCCCGGCTAATTTTTTCTATATATTTTTAGTTGTCCGATTAATTTGTTTCTATTTTTAGTAGAGACGGGGTCTCGCTCTTGCTCAGGCTGGTTTCGAACTCCTGAGCTCAAACAATCCACCCGCCTCGGCCTCCCAGAGAGCTGGGATTACAGGTGTGAGCCACCGCGCCCGGCCCCTGAATAAGAAATTTTAAGAGAGTCGTGTTAAACGGAAAGAAAACTCTACGTGAAATTAACCACCGGGTCAATATAAAGGACATTTGGAGGAAATCAAATCTATCATGAGCCATTCCCTGTTCTGGGCCCATAAATTCTTTTTATTTGGATATTTGAACTCTGATAGAAATACTCCATCAACAGCAAGACAGGAATAGCAGCACTGTGTTAGGAGTAAAAAGGCCAATATATCTGGATTGGCCAGAGTTATAAGCAGACACTAACCACGGGCTGGTTGTTTTGCTATTTTTGCCTAAAGTCAAACGTAGTTAGATAAAATAGTCTGAGCCAGTCATGTAATCAAGTCTGGGGAAATACACAGATACATCAAAAGTCCTATCAATCCCTTGTAATTTCAGTTCTTGTCCTATAAATCTGAATGTCACCATTAATATGCTAAATTGAGAAAAATGTACTTCATCTTCTTTTACTTTCTATACATTACCTATGGTATAGATACTAATAAAAGCAACAAAATCATGAAGAGACAGTTGACAGGAAGAAAATAAAGAAAAGCCACAGGCACAAGTGATTTTCCATTAAGAGTATTATCATTGATCAGGTTGTTTTTAGCTTTGAGCTTCTAGGTACCATATTTTTTAAAGTAATAATAGAATTTAGGAAGCATGCATCAAAAGTAGCTACAGGTATGAAAAAATATGAAGTGGGATTTTTTTTGGACTGAATTATTTAGAGAACTTAAAAGCACCTTAATCAATGTCAATTTTCTGATTTTGATACTGTACTACAGTTATATTCAGATATCACCATTGAAAGAAACATTGGTGAAGAGGTTACAAGACTTAATGCACTACTTTTGCAAACTCTTGTGACTCTATAATTACTTAAAAAGTTTTTTAAAAGTACCTTAACCTAATCTAAAGTATATACTGTACCGTTTTGGAGACCAGTCTTCTGTGATTCCTCTGATATAAGAATTAAACCAAATACATTTGAAAAAGCAAAAGGAACTGCAGACAATAAATATTGTTTAGGAAATGAGTACTCACATAGCAGTGCAACCTTTCTGCAGGCTAACAATAAAAAACATACAATGTATCTACATTTTGACCCACCAATTCCACTTCTAGAAACATTACTTACAAAAAGAATAAACAGACTATTTAAAAAGCTACTCAAAGAAACAAGGGAAAAAAAATAGCTTATTTACATCCAACAGAGGGAGAAGGCAAATTTAGCAAAACTCATAGCTTTCACATTTCTGACTTTCCAAAAAGTAAGATCACAAAAATATAAGGACAGATATAATATCTGCAGAGAAAATTCATGTTTTTTTTTTTAAATCCATTTAAATACATAAGAACATTATTTTGAATGTCCATGTACCATGTAAGGAAAAACATAAGTTTCATGCAAATGAAATACAAACCTGTGCTTTGATGATTTGCTAAATATATTATATTTTCTTTATTTTCCGGCAAATCTCCATATAGCAATATCTAAAAGATAAAAAGAAACATTACTTTGATATTTTAAAACATGTACTACTGAAATACACAAAATTAAGACAATGTGTAAAAATCACATGATGTTGTGAATATTTCCATCCATGATTACCAAAAATTAGACTTCTCTTAGGAGCCTCAGCGACCATGAAGAGTTCATGTTTATAATGCAGTTAAGCGTTGGGCAGGTTAATGATCATAAAGTAAAACAGACTGATCAATATCCCCAAGAGAAAAATAAAACATTTATTGATTGCTAACAATATATAAAGCACTGATCATAAGATAAATCTTTCCAAGAGCCTACAATCTAGTGGAAGAGAGAGATACACATGCAGTAAATGTAATGAGACATAATGCAAATATTATGAAAATACAGTACATTTTATTTTAAAGAATTATAAACTGCAGAACAGGAAGTATTCATTAGGTGTGATTTCAGCAGATGAGATGAAGAGAAATGTTCACGAAAATAAGACCAAATGGAAGCGGTAACGCTGGAGGCCTGTTCTGGTACGCGAGCAGCCGTGGCTGAGGAGTTAGTACCCTGGAGCAAGGAGATCACAAGGGTGGCTCTGAACAAGAATGTCTAAAGTCTTTTGAATACCCTGCTGAAGATTAAAACTTTATTCTGTAAGTAGTAGGGAAACGCGGTTCCATGATTAGGACTCCCTTTATCTCCATAAAGAACAGAGTTCAAGAGTAAGGCGACTTCTAGCACAAGGGAGGAGTGGCAAGAGGAGGGGCACACAGTGGGGCTTCCAGTCCACAGTCACATTTTATTTCTTGAACCAGGTGGTGGGTACACAGATGTCCACTGTACCTCCATTCGTCTTTCTGCTGTTTTGTAATGTCTTAAATATTTCATAACAACATTTTTAAAGAAACTGGGTATATGCGTTTAAAGACTCCAAAGGAAATGACTGCTAATGGTGATATTTTTTTATTTAGGGCATTCTTGTTTCTGTGTCTTGTCATCATGGACTGTGCAAAATTATTAATTGGCTAAGGGTTTTTAAATCTATCTTGTCCATAGTGATTATCTTCTGGTCATGACACTATTCACTAATATTTTAAAAACATAAGAAAGAAAAGGACATTAGCCCAGCATCTTTGTAGATAAATACAACTAGATGATAGAAAGTTTTGGAGGTCAGGGATTGAGACTCAGATCTCTACTAACTTCCTTAGAAAAATCTCACAGTGCTATGTACATAATATGTTTAAATATTTGCTCAATGAGTTGTTATAAGTAAAGTTTACTGATTGCATAAATAAATAACACCAATAATTTGATCTGCACAGGGTTAAAAAAATGAAGTTCTGGCCACGAGCAACCCCCATTCTCTTCCCAACAAGCCAGAACTGCATCAGGACCATTGGGTATGCACTTGATTTAAAAGTTTTGCAGATAGATGGAAGAATATTTCTGGCTTAACTTTCTTAGATAGGATATTCGAGGTTTAACTGATTCAACTCGAATACCACTCTTTGGAGACACGCCTGGCCCCCAAGCTGAAGGCGATACTTGAACCATTCAAGAGATGAGACTTTTCCTTTCTTGCCAAGCTTGGGTAAGAGACCGCTAGGCTGTAGCCTTTGAAGGCAGAAGACAAATAAGCTATTAAAAGGCTGTTTTCACAGAAATATAGTACCAATGATAGAAAACATAGCACTGCAAATTTTGTCTTTTATAAAACTAAATACATCCCATTTTAAAATAAAACAAGCCTGGTGAGAGTAGAAAAGCAACCACAAAAATAAACACAATCACCTAATGTGATGATACGGTAATTCCCAGCGGTGAAAGCACAATATACGCAGCATCGGCACGGGAAGGACCTGTGAACACTATTTGCCCAGCCCTCTGGTTTTACCCTTACGAAAACTAAGTCCTTGTCCAAAGACCCATGATCAGTTAGTTAACAGCACTACAAGCTTAAGAAGATTCCACATCTTCACTCTTCATACCACCCTGCTAGCCTTGAAATGCCACAATTTTCTACCTTTGTTATTAGACACAAGTATGAACCTAAAAGCTTCGAAGAAAAAGCCATCTCTTCTTATAGATACTACTATTTTTGCCAATGAATTTCTCCAATCTTTAAAAAAACAATTATAAAGTGCACACAATGTTTAACAGATACATCAATGCGAGCAATACAGTATTTACACTATGAAAAAAATAGAAAAAAGAAAAAGCCACCTCTGTAATCCCTATAAGATTCACTAATCTTCTCCACCTCTAAATGGCTTCCATACAACTCATTATTTTCAATATTTTCCGTGATTAACAACAAAGTTAAACTTGCTCAGTATTTAAAAATAGATCTTCAATAGTATCTAGAATGAATTCAACTGGGTAAACAGGGAAAATGCAGTTCAACTACTAGATCACTCAGATTCTTTATTCGTAGTCCTTGAAGATATATATACACATATGTAAATTTATACTTTTTAAGATTTTTCTTCAATATGCACAATATCTAATTGAAATAAAAGATATTTCCAACTGGAATGCGTAAACCTCTGATAAAACATAATTTAGGACCTCAAAGTAGATATCTGGATGACAGCCTCTTCTCTAAGATTTTTCATTTATCACTTAAACCACAAATTACTTGGAATTCAACAAAAATAAGTTAAAAAATAGAGCAGTCCTTCATATTTAAAACTTCAAAGGATCTAAAAGCAAAGTAAGTGAAATGATGAACTATAAATTTCAATGGAATAGATGCAGATCATTAAGTACTTTGAATAGACATTGATTAACCGAAGAAAGGAATACACAATTACAATCTTTACACATCAAATATACACAATTTTTAAGGTCCTTTATTTCCTTCACTTCCAAGGCTCCAAAGGTGAATGAGCATTTCATTTTAATTTAAAATTTTCAAATTTCTTCCATTCATCAAAGTGAAAGGTTATTTCTTTGCTTTTAAGTTTATTATAGTAATATGGAAGAGAAGAAAACATTTTCATTGACAAACACACATTTTCAAAACACTTAGAGTTATTACTGTCTTATTAGCAAGTAGATGACTAATAAGATAGCTGTAGTGTTTTCCAAATTTAAAAAAATTCTTGAGAACTTACAGAATACCCTTATAAATTATTAGATTATATGATTACCTATAAGCCTACCTGCACTACCTCACTGTAATCATCTCTATACCAGCTTTTCCTCATTTATTTACCTCCCCATGAAACCACCCTTTATAAAATTAATAAAAGAGGTGGGAACTGTGGTAGGGGCCTGATTAAAATACATATATAACCAGCCATTGTGCCCTAGCTTGCTTTTCTATAATTACTTACTATTCGGGAGTCACGTAGCTGATGGTCATGAAGATTCTTAACCTTCTTTGTTGCTCCTACAGGCAACATCACTCTTGTGAGACCTAAGGCTAGTCTCAGAGATACATTCCAGACCCTGCATTCCAGTGGACCAACTGACCCAACCAGACCAGTGGCCCATCCCAAGCATCCAACTCAACTGGTCTTGCAACCAGAGAACTGACTCAGCACAAGAAGACAATTTCTGCTTCCCAGTCCTATGAGTTCATCCCCAGCCAATCAGCAGATCCAATTCCCTAGCCCTTTGCCCACCAAACCATCTTTAAAAACCCTGGCTCCCAAATTCTCAGAGAAATGGATTTGAGACATCCTTCCTGTCTCCTCAGGTGGCACCTGTGATATTAAACTCCTTTTCCGCTGTAAACTCTGCTGTCTCAGTGTACTGGCTTCCTCTTGAGCAGCGCGCAATAAGCCTGGTTGGCTAGTAACACCCACTGAAGGCTTTGCACCTCTTAACCCAGTCCCCAGGATTAACCATTTCCCCCTTTGCACCATGAGGTACCTTGTTCACACTTCTTTAGGTGCAGCTAGGACTCACTGTACCTAACCCTATTCACAAGTCATATCCCCTTAGGTTTATCAGCTCCTCAGTGATAGATATCTGATCATTTTTCTGCCCCCAGAGCCTAGTACCCAGATGGTTTTCAACAGATATTTATTGAATCATTAAATTTGTGAACTAAAATCTTAAGCCCCTCAGTTGACTGAATGGACCCCTTCTTGCCCAAGGAGACCCTAGAAATATCCTAAAGCTGAGTTATTGGTCATGAGAAGGGAGGTCAGACATACCTCCCCATGATCCCCTCCCTCCTTGGAGACATCCTGTGTAACTCATTAACAGGCCTAAGGCTATGCAAGACAAAGCTTAAGCCATACCACAGGTCATCAGTTTACTTAACAGATTACTTATTGAGTCTATGTCCAGTGGCTTGTCTCTGATTAACAGACCTCCTTACTGCAAAACATTCCAAGCCTTTAGACAAAGCTTCATTTCTTTAACCAATTACAAATCAAAGAATCTTTAAACCCACCTATAACCTGTAATGCCCCACTTCGGGCCAAATCAATGTACACCTTCCATGTATTGATTTATGACTTTCTGTGTAATTCCTGTCTCCCTGAAATGGATAAAACCAACTATAACCCAACCACGGGGACACCACTTGCTCAAGGCTTCTTGGGTGTGGCTCTCCAGGCCATGGTAGCACATATTTGGCTCAGAATAAACCTCTGTAAAATATTTCACATAGTTTGGGTTATTTTCCATTGACAAGTTTGCACTTTTATTTGTCAAAGTAAGAAAGCCATACCCATAAAAACCCAAAATGAATGACTGAGGCAAACATCTCAATCAATGGAGGTTTATTAAGCCAAAGTTGAGGACACACTGGGAAAAAATACACACCACAGACAAATCTGTGGTTGTTTTTCCAAAGCGAAATTTGGGAACTCAGGTTTAAAGGAGATAAGGCATATAGAAAGAAACAGAAGAAGGGGTGCGGGCAGTGAGACAAAATGGTTACATTCTTGTGAGACCCAGGAAATGTGTATTTTATACAAGATAAGGAGAATGTTAGAAGACAAAAAAGGGGAGTAAAGGAATCATCAATTATGCAGATGTTCCTGGGTAGGTG